TTTTTTTTTTTTTTTTTTTTTTTTTTTGAGACAGAGTCTTACTCTGTCACCCAGGCTGGAGTACAATGGCGTGATCTTGGCTCACTGCCAAAAGTCTCCTGCCTCAGCCTCCCGCGTAGCTGGGATTACAGGCGTGTGCCACCATGCCCAGCTAATTTTTTTGTACTTTTAGTAGAAATGGGGTTTCACCACATTGGCCAGGCTGGTCTTGAACTTCTGACCTCAAGTGATCCACCCGCCTTGGCCTCCCAAAGTGCTGGGATTACAGATGTGAACCACCATGCCTGGCGGGGAGAGATGTGTTAAGGAGACAAAATAAGAGCTAAGAGGAATAAGTTCCAGTGTTCTATAGCACTGTAGGATAACCAGAGTTAACCATAATACATAGTTTCAAATAGGTCGGAAGATATTGCATTTTCTCAACACAGAGAAATGAGCAATGTTTGAGATGACGGTATGCTAATTATTATTCTGCTCTGATCACCATGTATTCCATGTACCAAAACATCACTATGTATGTCATGAATATGCACAATTATTATTTAGAAAAATTAGGAAAAGAGAAAAAAAAAAAGCTGAACAAGAATCCATACCCACCCTCTACTGTACAAGGGAAAGCTGAGATTTAGAAAGGGGAGGGGGCTTGCCCCAGGCTCCAGGGAGTCAGTGCCCAGCTCGGCCAGCACTCCTTCTGCTCCCTGCCCACCTGCTCAACAAGGAGCTCCCAGGCTCCCCAGGGGACATATCCCTATCTGTCTGTTCCCTGGGGTGGGGTGCTGGTCCCTGCGGGTCGTTCCTCCCCGCCTTCCTCCCAAGTCTGTGGGTTTGTTGCAGGAGACAGTCTTCTCTTCCCCAGGCAGCAGGGGGCGTGGGTAGGAAGAACTACCCAGCACTGCCACCACCTGCCCACCTGGCCCAAGCTGCCCCTCCCTGGGCGGGCGAGACTCCCACCTGGATCTGCTCCATGCAGTGCTGGGGGGACTCAGCTGACACGCACTGGATCTTCGGCCTGAGCTGCCGCCGGCTGAAGGCCACAGCCATGTCTCCACACTTCTGGATCTCGGGAGTGGAGAGCACACACCAGCGAAGGAAGGGGGGCAGCCCTGGTGTGGGGCAAGCCAGCGGTCACTGCCAGGCCAGTACCGCCAGGGGAAGAGATTGGAGTCAGACCCAAGGGAAATTCTGGGCCTTTCTCCTGTCAGCTGTGTGGCTGGGATAAGTTATTTAACCATCAGATCCTGCTTCCTCATACAGAAAAGGGGCAACTGTACCTCTTACACCGGGCTGTGAGGCCTGAGGAAGACCATGGCTGTCACGTATATAACTCAGTGTCTGGCACCCATTTCCCTGGCTACAGGTGGAAGATAGATGGGATGCAGGCTAAAGGCAAGAAGCTGACTTGTAGACTATTGCAATAGTCCAGGCAGAAGACAATGCCTGAGCCAGGGCTGTAGCCACGGGGTGGAGACGGGGAGTAGCAGTGACAGGTTGAAGAAGAACTGATAGGACACCCTGGCTCCTGGATAGAGGGGCGAAGAGACCCTTCTCAAGGCAGATTCTGATGGCCTGGATCCCACCCCGCTGCGGCCAGGTGGGGCTTCTGAAACAGGCCATGCAGCTAAAGAGATGCTTCTTCCCCAAAGCCCCAGAGGCAGACAGATTGAGATGACAGGTTCCCGCAGAGGCTGAGAGGCACATCCCAGGCCTCCCTGGTGAGCATCTTCCCCCGGCCACTTTCCCAGAGAGCCTTGCCATGCCCACGGTCAAGCTGGGCTGGAGCTGGCAGCAGCCAGGACAGGTGGACTTACGGTTGGGGTCACAGAGCAGACCCTTCATGGCGTGCAGGTACTCGTGGCCCAGCCACGCCTCATAGGTCTGCGTGGCGATGGGCACAAGCTCGGAGGTGGAGTCCTTGAACAGCAGATTCTTCTGGCCATAGGCCTCAGAGCTGAACATCTGGAAGCTGCTGCCCTCGTGGCTGAACAGACGCTGTTCAGTGTGTCAAGGGGTGGGGTACAGGGTGGTGAGGGTGCTGACAGGCCACATCCTTTCCCCCCATTTCAGCCACCACCTCCTTTTTCCCTGACCTCAGACCAGGCACCCACTCTGAGGGCCCGGGGAGGCCTCCCTCCGTCTTCTGCAGCACCTCCCCCGACCCGCCGTCCCCTTCCCCTGGGCCCTGCCAGTTCTGGGTCTTCGCTGAGTTCATCCAGCATCACATTCAGCTGTGGCTAGGGGTGGGAGGGTCCTGAGGACACGCCATGGGGCTGGCAATAGCAGCCTCGATGGGGCAAAACAGCCCGGGGCAGCAGCAGTCGGAAATATACGGCTGTCATAAGCAGTGGTTTTAGCAAAACCTTATTTACCACACTTAGTTAATGGTGTGCTTTGAAAGGCATTGGTTTTGTCACTTTTGCTCATATGTTCTGGTTTTGGCTCGTAGAGACACAAGTACCAGGAGCTTCCTCTGAGGGTGCCTCAGTCTCTGGGTCCCCCTCTCGTGGCCAGCCCTCCTCTCGGTCAGCCAGAGCAGTTGGTTCCTGAGCTGACCGGAGGCTGGGGCCCATCCCAAGGACAGTCTCTGTCTGGCTCCTGTGCCTCCTGGTCCCACCCCTCCTGGTCCCACCCTGATGAGCAACCACAAGGCCCAGCACCACCCGGGAAGCTGTGCGGGGGGACCAGGGGACCCTGAGCCCACCTGGCCTTCGTTGAGCAGCCGGAAGATAAGGCCCCCATCTGTGTCAGCCCGGACCACCACGGCGTGAGCAGGCACCCGGGCCAGGTGGCACTGCCTCCACTCAGTGACATCGGCCCAGCTGCCATCCCGGCACAGCAGCTTGAAGTCCTGTGACAGCAGGGCCTGGCCCCAGGAGGGCAGTGTCTTCCCTGGGAAGAAGGAAGCCTGGGCTGAGCCAGCTCCTAAAGGGGTTGTGGTGGGTGGCGGGGAAGGCCCAGGAGAGGAATTCTGGGGGATGGCTGGGTGTCGTGGACACGAGAACCCAGCACTCAGAAGGTGGCAGAGCTTAGTGGCTGCACCCAACTCCAGGTATCTACGCAGGCTATCTTGTTCCTCCCGTTTTCTATTTCTAGCTCTCACCAATTTCTATTGCTAAAATGGATTGGAGGTATCTGACAGTAATACAATACCAAGATAAAGGACTATCTATTCAAGATAAAAGGAGTAAGAAAATAAGAAAGGCTTTGGATGAGAGAGACAAATGTGCCAAGAGTCTAGGACGGCTCAAGGCTGCCGGGAGGGAATACACTTGGCTCTGAGCAGTGGACACGGGTCAGGGCTCAGGGAGCAGGGGCCGTGGTGGGAACACACGCCGACAGAAGGGGACTTCCTAACTCCAGCTATTCATATTTCGATGGACTTCTTTCAAGTTCTTTTTCTATCTCCTGTCTTTTGACCACTTTTAACCTGGTTAAGCACATAGTTGACAGGAAATTCTCATCCTACTTGGTAGAGAATTTTTCCACAGTATTGGAAACTTTCCATAAACTCACTTATTTCTCAACAGAAAAGAAAATTTGAAAGAATAACTATTAACACCAGATAGGGATACTGAGAAGATGAATATTAAGGACTATAATTAAACCACAGATGGTCCTACATAACAATATTTTTATGGCTTTAAATTAAGACAAGGAGGAAAAAAACCTCTACAAGGAAATAGGCAGGGAAAAGATAATTTGTATGGTCATGAAAGCTTTCACTGCGAAGCTATTACCAAACAAAACCCAAAACCCACGACAGAGTAATAGTTTGGAAAAACTCCATAAAGGTCATTTTTAATGGCCACATGGTAGTTTACAGCACTCTTAATTATTCAGTGCAACTCTCCCCACGCTTCCCAATTTTCCTCTGTTTTTAGGCTGCTGCAAAACCTTTGGTTAGATCTCTGGGATATCATTTGCCTTCACACAGACAAATGCATCATTTAGGTACTTCCATCAGCCACTCCACTTCTCATCGGCTAAGAACAATGACAGTCACTTATGCCAATTCTATTCCTTTGCTCTTATCAATCTTTTTGTATAAAGTTGATTAAAAATTACTTCCTTAGATTTCCTTAGATTACCATCAAAACTTTGAGGCCAAGTGCAGTGGCTCACCTGACAGGACACCATGGATCCCAGCACTGTGGGAGGCCAAGGTGGGCAGATCACGAGGTCAGAAGTTCAAGAACAGCTTGGCCAACGTAGTGAAACCCTGTTTCTACTAAAAATACAAAAAAAAAAAAAAAAAAAACAAACCCCAACAACAAAATAGCCAGGCACGGTGGCGGGCGCCTGTAGTCTCAGTTACTTGGGAGGCTAGGCAGGAGAATCGCTTGAACCTGGGAGGCGGAGGTTTCAGTGAGCCAAGATAGCGCCACTGCACTCCAGCTTGGGTGATACAGCAAGACTCTGCCTGAAAAATAAAAATAATAATAATAAAAGGCCGGCGCGGTGGCTCATGCCTGTAATCCCAGCACTTTGGAAGGCTGAGGTGGGCGGATCACGAGGTCAAGAGATCGACACCATCCTGGCCAATATGGTGAAACCCCATCTCTACTAAAAATACAAAGATTAGCTGGACATGGTGATGCACACCTGTAGTACCAGCTAGTCAGGAGGCTGAGGCAGGAGAATCACCTGAACCTGGGAGGTGGAGGTTGCAGTGAGCCGAGATAGCACCACTGCACTCCAGCCTCGAGACAGAGCGAGACTTTATTTCATTTAAAAAAAAAAAAAAAAAAGAAAAAACTTTGAAAAAGCTTCCAGATGCATGCCTGTAATCCCAGCTACTCAGGAGGCTGAGATGCGAGGATCAATTGAGGCAGGGGCTTTGAGACCAGCCTGGGCAACAAAGTGAGATCCCATCTTAAAAAAACCCCAAGTTTGAAAAAGCTGATCTATATCCCTACCCTTTGCCCATCTTGCAAATTCTCCTTTGTCTGACTCGTCTTGGGGCCTGTGAGCAGGACCGCCCAGCACTGGTACACATCATCCTACAGGCTTCGGGGTGTGCAGGTCACTTGTTTTCCTCCTTCTCAGATCTGGCCCATGTTTGCCTTCATGATGGACCACGTGATGGACTTTCTGATTTAAAAGGCAATGATGAATAACAGCGAAAAATGACAATGACTTTTTTTTTTTTTAAAGCCAATCATCAGGCATTCTGGCAGAGGCAAAACTACAGACAGAACAGTCTGTTTGCTGCTTGCTGGCAGGTGGCAGGGGTAAAACGAACAGGGGTCTGAGGAACTTCTGGGCTGAAGGGTCTGCAAGATCTCGATCGTGGTGGTGGTTATACAACCGTATGTATTTGGCAAAACTCATACTTCAAAAGGAACAAATTTTGCTGCATGTAAATCATATCTCAATTTAAAAAAAGAAACAATCTTCAGGCAAATCTAAATTGAGGGACATTCTATAAAATAACTGGCCTGTTGCTTCAAAATGCCAATGTCATAAAAAACAAAGACTGAGAAATTGTTCCAAGATAAAGGAAACTCAAGAGATCTAACATCGGAAGCCATGTGTGATGAGAGTGTAGGTTCTGGTCGGAAAAAAAGGCTATGGAGGACAGAATTGGGACAGTTAGTGAATCTGCAATATTGACTGTAGATTAGATAACAGGATTGTATCAAAGTCGCATCGCCTGATTTTGATTACTGTGGCTAGGTACACATATCTCCTTGTCTCAGGAGGTACATACTGAAGTATTCAAGGGGTATGACATTGGCAAATGTGCTCTCAGATGGGTCAGAACACACACACACACACACACACACGCACACACATACATACACACGTACATCGAATGTGGAAAAACGCTAATTAGTTAGATTTTGAGTGAAGAATAGATGGGAGTTCTTTGAATTATTCCTGTAACTTTTCCAAAATTCAATTCTTTCAAAATTAAAAAAACTCTTAAATGACAATGACATGACGGCTCAATATATAACACCAACGTATATCTTAAGCCAGCCCTTCTCAGGGATGAGGGACTGATTCTCCAGGCAGGAGCAGAAAAATGCCAGGAAGGGCTGGTAGGGGAGATCCAGCGCTAAGGTTTGCAAATTCTTTAAAAAATCAGACCCCTGTCTTCAGAGGGAAACTGAACCCAATGCCATATTCAAATCAGAGCAGAGCAGAGCTGCCCACTGGCCCCCTTCTCCTGCCCTGTCAGCAGTGGGCAGTCCATTGTCCATTGGTGAGACTGGCCTCTGCTCTTTTGCAGCCGGGAGTGCTGAGGTTCAGAGATGGTGGAACTTGTCCACAGTCACCCAGAGACTCAGAGCAGCACTGAACTAGGGCATTTGATCCCAACTCTGCCATCTAGGGGTCCTGCCCCAGGCGGGCCTGGCCTGACACCCTGTCCTTCGGCCCATGCACCTCCCTGCCCTACTCACCATCAGTGTTCTCCAGCACCGTGCTGTGCTTCACAAACGCCACGTCCCCCGCCCCTTCTGCCAGGCACCTGCGGAGGAGAAGCTGTGAGCCTGGATGGGGCTGAGCCCCTGGCCCCTGCCCGTCTTCCACCTCTGGAGGCCTGGCTTGGGCAGTAAGGGGTAGCCATGGTGGGCATGGGTTTTCCAGTCATGCGGTCTGGGTTCCAGCTCCCTGGCTGGTTGGCTGTGTGGCTTTGTCACTTGTGGCCCCTTCCTAGCCCCTATCACCTGTAAAGTGGGGCTGGGAAAGCAGCTCCCACAGGGCTGCCCTGAGGATGAGACGTTCTTTATAATCCAGCATCGATCCTCTACAGCCGAGCTCAGGCCTGTATGGAGCAGGTACTCCGTGTATTGTATCAGCAGCCTTGACTCTCAGGGGGTTGGTTTTGTATGTGTTTGTTTTCGTTGTTTTTAGAGATAGGGTCTCACTGTGTTGCCCAGGCTGGAGTGCAGTGGCGCAATCACAGCTCACTGCAGCTTTGACCTCTTGGGCTCAAGTGATCCTCCTGCCTCTGCCTCCAGAGTAGGCAGGACGACAGGTGTGTACCACCATGCTGGGCTAATTTTCAGGGTGTTTTGAAGCACATTCTGCTCTGAGGCAGGGGATTGGACTAGAAGACCTTTTCATGCCATACCACAGAATCCTGAGTGGGAACGACCATCGACTTTTACATGCTCTCTTGATGTCACTGCCCAGTGTTGGCGGCAGGTTGGCCCTGGGCAAAGGGGTTGCTTGAGTCCCCATGCACTGAAAATACGCAGGGATTAGAACAGGTCAGGGAGAGGTGACATCAGGAGAGGGCTCTGAGGCTCCAGGAGAGTCAGAGAGAAGGGGTGCATGCCAAGGGCATGGGGCAGTGGAGGGGCAAGGGTCTTCCGCTCAGAGGTGCTGAGGACTGTTTTTCTCTCTAAGCCAAACACTGCATCCATTCAGATCACATCTGGAGCGTGGGGCACCAGCAGGCTTCCCCGCTGCAGGTGGAAATGTGAGGTAGCTAAAGGGGCCCGAGATGCTTCCTTTCCAGTCCTGGGAAGCACGTTTCCTCCCCTGCAGGCAGATGGAATTGGACCACGAGCTGGTAGAGACTCCCTTCTGTATCCACGAAAGGATTACCCAAGGTGCCAGCCTCAACCAGTGGCAGAGACAGCCCGTCCCCAAGTGTCAAGACACACTCCCCCACCCCCTCTCCCTGCTGGTCTGAGAATGGGGACGTGGGAGTGGCCAAAAGGCTGTTTTTTCCATTTTCTTCTCTCTGAGCCCTCACTTCACTAAATATACCAAACATGTTGATTTTATGAGCAAATCCAGTTTGGCATATTCCAGCTGGATGTTTTTAAACTAACCAGGGCACAGAACTATATAAAGGGTGCTTTGACAAGATGCAGCCAACCCCGCCACCTCCCCCTCCACGGCCCTCTCTGGGCAAAGGTGTTTTTCCCCAGCATCTGTGGCCTTAAGCGCCTCCGCCTGCGGGACTCAGTTCCTCCCTGCCTGCCGCCCTCCCCGCCCCTGACTTTCACTCACCGGAAGGCCCCGCTGTAGTCATAGTATCGCTCCAGGGGGCTCTTGTCACACACACCTTCCCCAGAGCTGTCTCCCCTGCAGAGGCTACACAGGGACTCAGCGTAACCGGTCTCTCCTGCCCCAGGGACGCAGCTGCCCCCAAAGTAGTTGCTGACAGCTGTGGGAAGGAGGTAGAGAGATCACTTAGCAGAACTTTCTTCAGAGCAAGCCAAGCCCCCAGGGTCAGCAGGGGGCCTGGGCCCCGCAGGGTCTCATCTGGACTCTGCTGAGAACGGTTCCATTTTCTAGCTTCAGTCTGAACAAAACTGGGGAGCTGGACCCGACCAGTAACTCCCAAAGCAGGTCCACCAAGGCAGCAGTGAGCATTGGAGAGCCTTACTTAAAAGTGGCTTGGGGGAATAAAAAATTACTCATAAATGACCACTCAGGGTAACTAAGTGACAACTAGATGCTCTCCTCATTGTAGGCTTCACTTCCAAATCAGCGAAGTGTGATTAACGACGGAGAGGAGGCTAGGCATGGTGGCTCACGCCTATAATTCCAGCACTTTGGGAGGCCAAAGCAGGTGGATCACCTGAGGTCAGGAGTTCAAGACTGGCCTAGCCGTCTCTACTAAAAATACAAAAATTAGTCAGGCGTGGTGGTGCACTCCTGTAATCCCAGCTACTTGGGAGGCTGAGGCAGGAGAATAGCTTGAACCCAGGAGGCAGAGGTTGCAGTGAGCCAAGATCACGCCATTGCACTCCAGCCTGAGTGACAGAGTTAGACTCTGTCTCAAAAAAAAAAAAAAAAAAAAAAGGGGAAATAAAGAATTACGAAGGAGGATCATTCATTGAAAGACAATACTTCCAGCACACGGAGGGAGGCAAACGCAGCAGTGGCCCGCCTCATAGGGAACGAGGTCAGGGTCTGCTGTCCTGCATGGTTCTTCAGGCCCTGCCGGCACCAAAACTCACAAATATTTATCCTGTGCTGTGCCAGGAGGCTCCCCTGCCGGCATCTGAGCCAGCTGGGCCATGCTCATCACCAGCCAGACTGAGCTTGTCCAGAGTAAACCCTCTTCCTGGTTTTTTGTGTCCTCCCAGAGGAGTGGATATTTAATAAATATGCCAAGTGACTGACAAGCCACCCACACCTGGCCACCAGCTGAGAGGGTGAAGCTTCCACGCTCTTGGGCGTGGTGTGGGTTTACACGGCTGGTTGGGCTGATGAGCCACTTGGGAGGTTTCTGGGTGCAATTCAGTGCCTTGCTTGGGTCCTGAAAAAATAGCATTTCTGGTCCTGTAAAGCTGAGGACACGCTTCTAGGCACAGCAGCCTGTGCCAGGTTTATGCCAGTGGAAAGCACTCCTTGGAGGTTCACTGCCTCCCATTCACGGGTTGGACCTGTGCCTGGCTATGTCGTGTGGGACACCACGATGGGTGAGCAATAGTTGTGCCTCACAGGGGCCAAGCAAGCAGGAAGTCAAGTGGTGGCGCACAGGGCTGGCGGCAGAGTGGCGGAGTGGGGCGGCCCGGAGGAGGGGGGTGGCTGCGCCTTCCGGGGATAAAGGATGCGGTGAGGCCAGAGGGAGGCTACCCAGTGAAGGGACAGGCATGGGCCAAGGAAAGGAGAGGGGAGGCCTGGGGACCCTCCTGCCCAGCCCAAAGTCCTCACCTTTGAGTACGTCGCAGCCCATCACTGAGAGGCGGCCGCTGTCCACCAGGTAGCCCACGGGCACGTTCCAGCCCACTGTCCGATTGATGCCTGTGTGGCAGGACTTCATGCCTTTCAGGGTGTTGATGGTCACATGGGAGCTCCTCTTGACCACAGCCACGGCGTAATAGGAGGTACCAACCTCTAGGATGGGAGGGGAGCCAGTGAGGGCAGCAGGGAGCAGCCTCAGGGAGGCTGCACCAGCGCCCTGCCCGGGACGGCTGTGGGAGAGTGTGTGCACGGAGCATGGGTGTGCAAGTGGACATATGCATAGCGCTCTAGTTACAAGAGAGCAAGTGGGTTTAATCCACACGTATGCGAGACCCTGCCCTCCAGCCTCTTGAGGTAGACACAGTCCTGAGATGTTGATGTATTCATTGATTCCCACTTTCCTTCTCAAGCAGCTGGTGCTTAGCTGGGTCCACATTTGCTCACATCTGGGGAGTTCTTTAGCTGGACAGAAGGCGGAAGCCAGCAAGTCTTCGCTCTCCAAAAGCCTAGGCCCCCAGAACTCGGAGGGTTTGAAGGAACGGTGTCAGGGTCATGGGAAGAAGAGTGGCTGGGAGGAGCAGGGGAGGGGCTTCCCGATTAGGAGAGGCAATTTCCTGGTGCTGAGGGGGTTGGAGGAGAGTGAGATGGAGGCAGAGACAGAGACACAGAGAGAACTAGCAATGTGGTCCCCAGTCACTGATGACCCTGAATGGCTGCAGGGTGCGTGTGGCGGGGCAGGGCTCTGCAGCCTTGCAAAACATTCCCCTGCACCAAGGTGGTTCCAAGGGGCGATTCAGGCAAAACACAAATGACTCAGTTACAGTAACTGATGACCAGAGGGCCTCCCATCACATGAACGTGCACACACACAGGCATGCACGTTGCACACACTGCCCCGTGGTGTGGAAGGCCATGATCAGAATGAAGTTGAGTTCTAGAACATAGAGCCAGTGTTACTTCTTGCACACCAGGGTTTGGCTCCAGCCAACCTAAGTAGCTTTGCCTAGTACCATCCTCTGACTCACCACCCTGTTTCTTTCCAATTCCTTGAATTGCCTGAGATGGTTGCAGGGCTCAGCTTACCCATCACCTCCCCAGAGCGCCGTCTTGCCTGCTCTATATCCGTGGGTTTTCCTGCAGCCCTAGTTTTCTCCGTCCTGCCCTTTCCTTTTCCTCACAGCACCCACCACATGCTTCGCTGTATCGTTTTGGTTGGTTTACTCTGCTGTGTGAGGGCAGGAAGGAGGTCTCTGTTTACTGCTCCGTGGTCCAGAGCAGCGGGCAGCAGGTGCTCAGTACAGGTGTGGAGTTAATTAAAGAGGAAGAGCTGCACGGCCCGGGAGGCAGGGCTGTTTCTGGCTGACTGGTATGCAGAATTGGACTGTGCCATGTGGCATATGACAATCACTAATTCAAGGAACCAGCCAGTGCCTTCTCCAAGCGAGATGCTGTGTGGAGTTACAGAGGTTAGACGCTGGGGAGGACCGGCCCTCCTCAGGGGACTAACGTGACTGAGCAGGCAGAGGCTTGCAGAGGCCATGGGGGTACAGGAAAGAGAGGTTCTGCTCAGGGAGCACCTGGGAGGAGGTGACAGCTGCACCAGCCAAGCAGAGGTGGTGGGGGAGACACAGGAGCAGGCTGAGCTGGGGGCAGGTCCTGTGTGTGATGCGGGGACTGGGCCAAGGAACTCACACTTTCCAGCACATACCCATGTCAGGTGGGCACACGGCCTGGCTCATTTAATCCGTGTGACAGGGCATTTGTTATTATCCCCATTTTACAGCCCGGGAAGTGAGGTTGTCCAGGGTGACAGAGGTCATGGGAAGGGAAAGCGCTGGGCCCTAAGCATGCAGGTGGCCCGGCCTGAAGGACGCCTTGTTCACCTGAGGCAGTTACATGAACAGCACCAGGCCTAGCGCTGCACCAGGCACGGGGAGCCCTCAGTAAGAACCGAGTGAGCAAAGGCTGGGGGGCTGCTGGGCTCCCTGAGGGAAGGGCAGACTTGGGTCAGCTCTCCATGTCCCTGGAGCTCTTGCCCCTGGGGAATTTGAGAGAGACTTAGGGTGCCCTCAGGGCATTCGTCTGGCTGGGACTCCAGGACTGCTGTGTGGACAGGGCTGGTGACCAGCTCAGGGCTGTAGGGTCAGGCCTGGACCAGCAAGGGCAGCCTGGAGGGCTGACTTCCAGCCGCCTTCCTCCGTCCTCCCCTGCACCTCCTACCTTGATCGTACAATTCGCCCACCACGGGCTTCAGGCCATGCTCCTCTCCCGCCTCATAGATGGCTCCTCCATCCAGAGTGATGGCGTCAGCCTCCTGGGCCTGCAAGGAAATGTGGCTCAGCCAAACCTGTCCCAGCCAGCACAATCAGCAGGGAGCTTGGGACACCTACCAGGTGGCCTAGGGCCCCGCCCTGAGCCCCGAGGGCTGTGCTGTCCTTCTCATCTGGCCCAGGAACCCAACCAGGGTCCAGGGCTCTCCCCGTTTCCCAGGCCAAGGATTCACCTTGCTTTCCTAGTAATGTTATTTAAAAAATATTAATCATTGACTTTGCAGGACTTAGATATTATATTTTAAAAATCAAATAGTAGAAAACAGCACGCAGTGAAATGTGTCTCCCTCGCTTTCTCTCCCCCTGCACCCCGCCTCTACTGCTGCCCTGGGTTTTCTAGCTTTTTTCCTCGAAGATGATCTATGTGTGGGGTTTCTGCCCTCACATGGAGCCTGACCCACAGCCTTGGCCCTGTGTGGGCCTATGACTGGAGCAGGTCTTGGGGGCATAGTGGGGGCGGAGCTGGAATGAAAACCCAGCTTTCTGTGCACCTGCCCCAGAGGCACGCCCCTCTCTTGTGGTGCCTTTGAAGATTGTCAGTGTCATTTAGCAGGTCTCCTGCTTCTCAGAGCTGCTTTCCTACCCCATACTCACCCACCTGGGAGTCCAGCCCCTGCTCCTCCTTCCCCAGAAACTACACAAGCCCCCTTCTGGAAAGCCCCATGGCAAAGTGAGCAAGTAGCCACCTGGGGCCACTGAAGGGTCACTACCATCTGGGGGCCCCTCAGCAGGGGCCTTGTGGAAGAGAAGCCTCTCAGGCCCCTTTCCTTGCTGGCGCCCCTCTGAGCAGCGGCACTCCTGAGGCTCCCACCTCCTGGGACTGGCGGAGACAAGCTGGCCTTGTTGCTGGGGAGACTCGGGAGATCCTATCGGCTGAGTTCAGCCCCTTTCCCGGTGAATGAGGCTGTTATGTGCTCCCTCCTGAGTCAGAGCCCTTTTGTCTGGCAGGGCGGAAGGGAGAGGACTCACCGCGATGAGCTGGATGCAGTGGTTGGCCGAGGTGCCCTGGACGCAGAGGAGGGAGGGCTGGATGCCCGCTTCCCTGAAGGCCTTGCTCATGTCGCTGCACTTCTGCTGCTCTGGGTCTGAGATAGTGCACCACCGCACCTCCACGCCACCGAGCACTGCGGGCAGGGGACTGACTGTGAGGCCTGGCTCCCCCGCCAGGCCCAGCCCTGGCCCACCACGGAGGGTGGCTCCAGCAGCTCTGTGCGGGCCCATCGGCCTGGAGAGCCAGTCCTCTAGAGCAGCCTGCCCTCCCACAGGGAGGCACCAGGCGCAGAGACTGGGAAACGGCTGGTATTCCTGTGCTCAGGGCCTCTCTGACCAGGAGCATGGCTGCTGGCAAATGGAACGGCTCAGAGCCAGGCCGTTTACAGAGGAGTGGGAGGGTCTACAGGTTGCTTCTCAGCTTCCCCCACCTGGAGGGAGCACTGGCTGGGGAGCCTCGGCAGGCCCGCGTAGGTTCCGTCACACAGCAGTGTCCCTGGGCCTTCCTCATGAACTGGGTCATGAAAATGAGGTGAGGGGGCTGTGGGTGGGCCACTCTCCACGAGCCCTGCACCCTCAGGGAGCATCTGCGATTGTGCTGGCTGCAAACTCACCTTTGGAGTGCACAGTGCCAGGCCCTGCCAAGGGAAGTCAGCAGACAAAGGGGAGGCTGAGGAACCATCAGGGTGGGTTCAAGTTCCTGCCCTCTAGCTGGTAACTTCAGGTAACTTATTTGCCTCTCTGAGCCTGCTTCATCTTCTGACAAAACAGATAAACCCACCCTCCGTGCTGAAAGTAAGCCCACGTAGAGAGCCCGAGACACACAGAGCCTCAGTGGGATTTTGCTTGTGCCTCAGGATCTGAGCGGGTCAGAGTCCCCGAGAGCTCCCAGGCTAGGGGCCAAGGGGAAGGGGTGTGAGTCTCTTGGGGTTGATGACTTTCAGGCCTGAGCTCCTCTGTCATTCACCCCGCCCCAGCCAGCACTGCCAGAGGCCTGTGCTGCAGAGAAACGGATGACTCCCCACTCCCGGAAACCAGGTCACCCCCTCCTCTCCCCACTCCCAGCGGCACCCTAGAAAGTCGAACTGCCTTCCCCTCCCCAGCGCTCCAAGGCCCCTACCACCCAGGCGGGAAACTGCAAAGTTCAGTGACTTCATTGTCTGCATTGATGAGTGCGCCGGCAGCCACATCGGTGCTGTGACCTCCATCCCCTCAGCGGACGCCGCCCGCAATCCCTGCGAGTCGCTCCCCGAGGTCCTGTCTCCCGTCCCACGATGCTGGGCCCCCACTCCCTGGGGCGCCGACACGAGGGGACCCAGCCTCCGTCCCACCTCCATTCCGGCAAATGCAAGCCCTCCCAGGCAGTCTCCCGCGCCCCTCCTGGTCAGTCCCTCTGAATCTTCTCCTGCGGGGACTCGGGAGAAAGAGCTGCTTTGGCCCCGCAAAGTCTCCCTGGGTTCCCGCGACCGTCAGGAGGCGCCGCCCTCTGGGCCCTCCTCTCCACACTCCAAGGCCTCCCCACCACGTCCCAGACCGCGCTTTTCCTTGGCGCGTCCGAAGCCTCACGTTTTCCAGGCCCGGCTCAAGGCCGCCTCCTCCAAGAAGCCTTCCAGACCTCCCTGTCTGCCCGTCAGTGCTAGTTCCCTCCTCACTCGACCCCGAGCCCTGGCATCCCCTATCTCACTCCCCCGGGGTCAGGCACATTTCCAGCCCCGGGACCTGCTCACCCGGGCTGCAGAGCCCAGGACTCTGTGCGCCCTCGGCTCTCACAGCGGGGCCTCACCGGTGCGCAGAGCCACGAGCAGCCACAGGGCCGCGGCCGGGCCCCGCATGGCGCCGTCGGGGCTGGCTGGGGCCGGGCTGGGTCCAGGTCCGAGGAAGTCAGCAGCTGCCGGCCTTCCTCCCTGCTCCCTCCTCACGCTGGTGCGAGCTCCTTAAGTGCGGCGGGGAGTGCCTGGGCGGAATCCACGCCCCTGGGGCGCAGGTCACCTCCCGCCGGCCCCGGACCCCACACCTGGGCTGACCCGACGCGCCTGGGCCGGCCCTCTCGCGCCCCCTGCTGGAGTCCCGGCCTAACGCTCGGGCCCGGGGAAACATGTTCGGAACTCTACCCTGCCCTCCTCTTGTGCTAGAAGACTCCACATGCCATGTCTAACTGGAGGGAGAAAAGCTTAGATGTGGAAGGAAGAAGAGGTCAGAATCCCAGGCTCTGAGCTGGGGGGGGAGCTGGAAGGACATCTCATCCGCGCAGCAGCTCCCTCCAAACACACCTGCACGGGGAGCCCAGGCCAGCCGCCCTGGCGAGGGAGGAGCTGCGCAGGGGCGTCTCCGTCTAGCCGATGCCTCTCCTCGGGCCTAGACAGGGGAGGTGACTTGCCCGAGTCAGGTACCTAGTCAATGGAAGAGCCAGCTGATTCCACCCTGCTTTGGAAGGTGAGGAGAGGACCAGAGAGGAATTGGAGGAAGCAGAAAAGGAGAAAGAGGTAGAGACAGGGAGGAAGAGAGTGAAGGTGAGGGAGGAAAAGGTGGGCTGACCATATTTCCAGGACAGTGGTTCTCCAAGTGTGGTCCCTAGGCCAGCCACGTTAGCAGCACCCCGGAACTTGTTGGAAATGCAAGTGCTCGGCCCCGACCCACTGAATCAACAGCTCTGGGCCCACGATCTGTTTTTATTTTGGGGCACAGCAAATGTTGAGAACCACTGTTCCAGGCAGACAAAAGCTGCGCTCCTCGTGTGGTTGGGGATGTGGGGAATGAACTGAAGAAATTGTTAGACATCTGTCTCCATTTAGGTCTCACCTTTTGTCCAAGCCCCTCATGAGGCTCTCTCTGACGTGGGTAATTTAAACAGTGAGAAAGAAGGATCCCTCTGAGTCTGTCAGTCCCTGAGCTTGCTCCATGCCCTGGGGAAGGAAGCCCTCCCTCCTATTGGCCCATGAAGCTACTACTTATCCCACACTGGATTCGGAGAAGGAATGTGGGCAATCTACTGACTGTGGGCAAGTTCCCTCCCCTCTCCAGGCTTATTGCCCCGTATGTAAAAGGTAGGTCATGATGGCTCTCACATGCCATACTGTTTCCTCTCCTGTCTGCTCTGGAGAACTCATGTGCTGTGGAAGCTGTTTCTCCATCCCCAGCTGGGTCCACCCAGAAGAGGGGGTACTTCTTCCTAATTCGCACAAAGGTGCCAAAGGGACTAGCAAGCAGCCCTGCCAGAGGGGCTAACGGCTTGTCTATAAGGTAGAATAAATAGAAGTTATCTTAACAAGCCTCATCCTCCTGACCACGAGGGTAGACTCATTTGGCGTGCTCCAGGAGCCACCAGGTTACGGGCAGGATCTGTTTGTTGACTAAGTCCTTCCTCTGGCAACACTTCAAGAGATGCTGATAGGGAGTCAGAACAACCATAACCTAAGAAGTCTGGTGAGCTCTTTCACAATGAGGTTCTTCCCTTATCTCCTGGATGTCATTCAACTGTGACTCATCAGTGAACTTGCTGTCTCTGGGTTCTAGAGGATTCACATTGGGTCCATTTGCCCAGTGTTGGCATGAACATGTATCACCTTTGTACAATGGGGAACTCTGCCTCAGCTTGAGCCAGGATTCTGCCATTTCGGGGGTCCAGACATCCCTGGGTGTGCCAGAGAAATGGGTGGGATGTAATGGGAGCATAATAAGCCAGCCATTTAATCCACAAACAGCCTTCTGGAGGAGCAGAAGCTGAGGTTACTTTGGTCCCCATTCTAGACTCATATTGAGGTTAGAGGGAGAGCATACAAACTAAAGGAACTGGTGTCACTGACACTTTGATAAGATTCTGGGGCCTAAGCAACTCTGCCTGGGACTCTCTGACCCTACCCCATACTGTGAAATACAAAGCACTCTTCTCCACTCTTGCCAAAGACACAGCCCTGGCTCTCCAAGGATTCAGAAGCCTTGAGCTTGTCAGGGAGGTGAGGAACAGTAGCTCCCATGGAGGGAATACACTACAGGCAGCTTCAGAAAGAGGGGCCTTCTGCAGGAGGCTGAGGAAGTCTGTCAGCAGGCATTGGCTAACGAGCCAGCAAAGGATGAACTCCTCTACCCAAAATCTTAGGAAAAAAATATTTTTTCCAACAAATCATAATTGCTATTTGTCTATTTCTATGGTCCACAATATCTTTGATTAAGATCAAGCCAAATAATTTTCATTCTGGGGAACTCTTGGAAGGGCTGGTGTGCCCTGAGAAAATTAGAATGTGAACATTTGCAGTAGTGTGGCTTCAAAGGGTATTACACTCTTGCTGACTAGTTAATAAATCTGAATTTGTATATTGAGAACAATGGCAGACACAGTGAGCAAATTTTAGGAATATAAGTGCTTCCCCCCTGCCCTTTATAGGAAAAGTATTTTTCCTATGAATCTAGACTTAGGGGGAGTCCTGTTCATTTGGGCTACATTGATGGTGTACGTGCAGGATTTTCAAAGGCAGAGTCTATGTTTGATCCTTTCTGTGCTCAGCACGGGGCTTGAACATACAGGAAGATTTCTAAGTGTGAACTATTATGTTTTAGGATGTTATTAACTATCATTGCTGGTGTCTGATGGTGCTGAGGCGAAGAATGAGAAGAACCATAGGATCTGGGGACTATGGTGGCTCCAAAGGGCTGTCTGAGCAGGTTTCAATGGCATGGCCAGGAAACGGAGCCTCATGAGGGCAGGGATGGTGTCTTGTCCGCCACAGTTCCTAGTGTCTAGCATCAGGTCTGGAATAGAGTAGGTATTCAATACATAATTATGGTATTATTATAAATGAAGAGAAGAGTGAACAGAGTATCTCAGGACATCTGGCTAAAAAAGGGAGAGGGGCTGTTTTCAGGGGACTCAACGTCAAGGGTAAGTTTTTACAGAAGATATTTGATCAGAATGTGAAGAATAAGATCAAGACAGAGCGGGCAACCATGAAAGGAAAACAAACCATGCTTCTTCCGGGGCTGGGAGAGGAGGAGGATGGGAAAGGCTTCAACTGAGCTCAGCCTGCAATCAAGTGGAAGTCTCTCAATGCCGAGCTCAGTTTATTATCAAACCACAAAAGCTTTCTTTTCCTGAAAAACTTACTTGCAGTTCAGACTTTAATTGTAGAAGATTATAAAGACTCAAGGTGAACTCTGAAGATATAGTTTTAAAGCCATTAATAAATCTCCATCAACTTCACTGAATATGAGTTAATCTGAGAAGAAACCAGTGTAAAAGGAGATAAAGAGTGAAGAAGTAAAATCAAGAATACTGTATTTGGCTTTGTCACTAAAGACTTCCAGAGAAATTATTTATACCGCAGCTACTTCCAAGGAGGGCTTCAGCTGACTTATAAAGAAAACATATATGCACTAGGAATATAAAAATCATAAAGCATGTTCGAGAAGGGAGATTATTATACAGGAACCAGAAAAGAAAGACTATAATTGAACAAAAAAATTGGCTTAGAGATTTATAGTCAGATCTTTTTTCTTTGAGATGGAGTTTTGCTTTTGTCTTGTTGTGCAGGCTGCAGTGCAATGGCATGATCTCGGCTCACTGCAACCTCTGCCTCCCAGGTTCCTGCCTCAGCCTCTTGAGTGCTGGGATTACAGGTGTGCGCCACCACACTCAGCTAATTTTTGTGTTTTTAGTAGAGACAGGGTTTCACCATGTTGGCCAGGCTGGTCTTGAACTCCTGACCTCAGGTTGTCCATCTGCCTCGGCCTCCCAAAGTGCTGGGATTACAGGTGTGAGCCCCAGCGCCTGGCCTATAGTCAGACCTCTTTATGCCCTTCTCCATCCCCATGTCTACCAATTTGCAAATGAAGTCACTGTCAACACTTAAAAGGCAGCTGTTTCCAGACCCTTAAAAAGTCACAGCAGTGAAGACAACCATGCTACCGAGGCCGGCAGGTTCTGGAGTAGAGAAGCCGTGCACCCTTATCTGCCGTGGGTACTTCACTGGGGAAAAGAAATACAATAAAAAATGCCACCTAATCTTGAGACATCTAAAATGGCAAAAGCAGCACAGAAAGCACATTCTCAGCATTAAGTGGACACCCAAGAAGTACTGGAGGAATTCAGGCATCAAGGGCTGTAACCGGCCAGGTTTCTGCAGGTGAAGGGATTTAGGGTGGCTTTGAAGAAACTAGAGCTTTGATAAGGGGACCTGGGTGGGGAGGACACAACATTTGGGAGGTGGTGTTGACAAAGGAGGCATTTGCATTGACAAACAGCTAAGACAAGCTCTGCAGAGGGTGTAGGTAAGAGGTATGGCCAGGGAGGTTAGTGTTGGCAGAAGACTTACTGATTACATACTACATTCCAGGAACTATACTTTTACAGGTGAATTCATTCATTTGGATCTACGATACATGAAGGTCACCGAAGAGAGGAAAATACATGCTGCACTTTAGGAAGAGTCATCTGGTGGGTAGCTGGATCAGCAAGGGAGCAGATTAGAGGCTGGGAGATGATTTAAGAGGCCACTACAGTAATACAGGTCAGGGGTAAGAACCTGGATTAGTGATGACAATGGAAATGAGAGTAAGAAAAAAATAATAGTGTTTGGTGATGATGGGATGTTTAAGAAAGGGAAGTGTCAAAAGCAGTACAGCTAAAATTTAGGTGACCGAGAGAATATAAAGTATAACCATTACTGGCTATGAGTAGGAAAGTAGTTAAAAGTTCAGTAAAGCTTTTTCCTAGTAAGGGTATGTAAGATAAACTAAATCTAAACCAAGCACTGAACTTTCAGAGAAAGGGACCTATCTT